ACGCCAAGAGTAAATGCGTGTTATTGGTCCTGCAAGGACACGCCTCGTCGACAATTCCGTGAAAATTATATTACACTTTTAGTAATTAAAAAGCTAATTGTTCTACTTGTAGTTGATGAAAGTATTATTAATTCAAGTGGTCACGGAGAGAAAAATATACTTGAATCTAGGGTGTTTTATACTAGAATCCAGTGGTTTCCATTTCCAACGCGATACCGGCATACGGAAATTATGGAATCTTATATATTACATAAGGGATGATTCCTCTTTATCATCTACAATTATTCAAAGAATACGAGATTGTGCAATTAAATTAACGGAAATGCCGAAAGATCGGTGAAATTCCGGGAAAAATTGAAAGTTCAATCAAGATGAGATATTCTTCACCCGATATTTAATTCAATTAAAAACGTAAATTTCCGTAACGGTAATTCCCCAAAATTCAATGCGATGTCATAATTGCATAATTCCATGGAATTTATAAAAACTAGCGCGAGACTATAATTCCTTTTATTAAATGGACTGATCGATGTGGCATTGAAAATGGGATGTACTAGAATCGAGTATTGAATATTCTAGCTTAAAGTACATTTTAATTTCGTGCAAAGTTCCTTATTTTGTTTGCATTAGTGATTTATTAATAAATTGGACTTGTCTAGGGTGAATTATTGGCGGTAACGAAATGGTGGTCATAGAGTACTTTCGATGAAGATTATCCTTTGATAGTGATGGTACATCCTTGGCATGTGTGACGTATCTTGATAGTGAATTTATTCACAGGTGTTTTAATTTGTTTATAATCAGACGAGACTGTGCTCACGTGAGTCGTAACGATGCGTGTAGAGGATGGAGGAGCTTGTACCTGGTGATGCTGATGATGAGGACAGCGATGAGGGTGTTGTTGCACAGGGTGATGATGATGTTACCCTTTTCGAGGCTTGCAATACCTAGGTATTGTGACCTTGTTTGCGAATTTTGCTTTCGAGAGCTGGTGTGGGTCGTCCCACGAGATCCTCGAGTTCGTCCGGTGTTAGGACGGTGAAATCTCTGGAAATTGACATTTTAGCTGATGTTAGTGGTTTACGGATGTGCGCGTTGGGGAAGTAATTATAGAATGGGGGCCAGTGGGGTGAGGTGAAACGTTTTTGATGGATGATACGTTCGGCTTGGCTCTTTGCTATTTAACGATTTTGTGGGCTTTCCCAGATTTATTTCAAGAGGTTGCAATTTTCATTGATTTAACCGAAAATAAGATTCCTGCAGGTTGAGAGAAAATCCATTTGGTATGAATGAATTGCAACAAGCAGTCATGGACTTGGAATAATAATTCATTTTTGGCTTTTTTTCGAATTTTTGAAATGGTTTATAATGCCTCATACCTTGGCCATCAATTAATTAATAATAATAATTCATATCATTTGTTTTTTCATGTTAAATGACAATTGATTATTCAATGAACGCTCAGATTTCCAGACTGATGTTAAAAATTAAATTCATACCATTTATTTAATTTAGAATTGCCATAATATTCAAGAAATTAATTGAATCGTCAATGAAGAATTCTGCAGAAATTTAATTTGAAATCTTTTTAGAACTTGGAATTTAAAATATAATTTTCCAACAGTGCAACATCAAGAATGAAGTTCAGTATATTGAAAGTTTGAATAATAAGATAATTGGAAAATAGGGCTTGAATAATACCTATGAGGTTCAATTACAAATGTAGAATAGG